GTTTGCCAAGATGAATTTTTAAAAGGAAGGGGGGAGGATATGGGGTATTGAGAGGGATATTGGCAAAGAGGGAGAGAGAGAGAGGGGGGGGGGATGGAGTTGTTCTTGCCTCCCCTCCCCTCCCCTCCCCACAGCATGCAGGCAGGAGCACGTGAGTGTGTGAATGGGAGTCACGTTGGGGTGAAAAAAAAAAGTTTTGGAAGGGTCATTTGGGGGATTAATTTTTTTCTTAGATCTCCAGTGTTTGGTAGAGGGGAAGAGGGCAAGGGAAGAATGTGGAGGGGACCGGAGATAGAGTGATTTTGCACTTGAGGTATCTAGTCTTCAAAGAGGCAAAGGAGGATAAGATGTGATCTGGAGCTCCCCGCACCGCATGCAAGCGGTGGGTGTGTATCATGTACCTGAAATTTGCTAGACTACTTGTGTATATCTAATCTGGGGTATCTGTCGCAAAGCGCCTTCAACGCTCGCTTGGTACATGTGTATGTATCTCCCGACTTGTCTGTCTGTAGAAAGAGATAGAGAAGTGAGAAAGAAAAAAACCCGCTACCGTATCCCATATCGTGACAAGAGGAAAAAAAAAGGAAACAGAGAGATGACGAGGACATGACGAGAGAGGAAAGGAATAATTCTTTCATGGCTATAGAGATAAGAGAACAAGTCATGACGAGATGAGAAAAAGAAAAAGAAGAGGCGAGAAGAAAAGGGAACGCCTGTTTGCCCGTGCGCCAGCCTGGGATGCGGAGTTGGTTGAGATGGCTTTAGGTAGAATGGGGTGTGGGCGGGTGGAAAGCGGGGGAAAGTCCGATTACGGAATTGCCCCTTACAGCCCCTTACCCCATTGTACACCGTAAGCGTGGGGAGGCAGGCAGGCAGGCAGGCAGGAAGGAAGGAAGGAGGAGGAGGCTGGGGGTTCTCTTTTTTTGTTCCTTTTCGTTGCTATGCACACACACACATGTGTATATAATGTGCGGCCGTGTTTTCGCTTCTGCATACAACAGCAAGCGAGATAACACCCTTCCCCAAGGCGCAAGCTGAGAATAGATCGATAGATCGAGTAGAAAAAAGTCACCGGTGATTTTTTTTTTCTCAGCCTCAGACCTTTACTTCTGTCACGTTGACAGTGCTGCCCATGGGGTTTGACGAAGATGCGGCAGAGGCGGAAGCCATCTTGTTTGCAACCATGTCGCTAGTCTTGACGAAGCCACCGGGGAGCAAGAAGACATAATCTTCGCGCCTTCCGGTGCGATCGACGGAGAATTGCTGCCAGTCGAGCTGGTAGCCGACGACGAGGTCGCAGCGGCCGCAGCGCTGGAGATAGCGCTTTTCGAAGCCTGAGTCGCTTGTGATGATCTCGGCTTGGCGTTCTTGGCGGGTGGACAGAAGGAGGCCGTAGTGGTCGTGCGTTGAGGCGGTGCTATCCGCAGAGTTCTTGCGTAGGGCGGCGGGTGCTGGGGGAGGTAGGGGCATGATGTGGGCGGCGTCATGGCTGTGGCGCCGTGTAGGCAGAGAGGGGAGGGGTGTGGTTGTTGCGAGGAGGAGATGGCTGCACAGGCAATGGTAGGTGTAGACTGTGTTTGAGGCCTGGAGGGAGATTTTCTCATCTGGGCTAGGAGAAGGCATGGCAAAGTATGCGCGCGAGGTGGTGGCGATATCCATTGTGGCGGTTGTGGTTGTGTGTGGTGTGTGGTGAGGGTGTGTGATATATAGTAGTCTGGCTCGGGGTCCGATCAACGGAATCCGTAGAGTGGTGGAGGTGGAGGTGGTAGTGGGACGCCTGTTTGTATGCGGGCGGCGAGTGTTTATGTATGCGAGTCGAGTCAAGTCAAGTCAAATGAGCGTGGCTTGAATGGGGTAACAGTGTAGAGTATGTAGTGATGAGCAGAGTAATCGGAGGTCCGACCACTGTTCTTATACTCTGCGCTTAGTCGTTGTGTGTGAAAGCGGACCCTGATCCTAGTCTTTTCGCTGAGGCTTACGAGACAAGGGCAGGGAGTGGAACTGTGGGGATGCAGAGGGTGCACGGGCGGGCAGGTTGATCGACGGCGGACACGACTTGAGGGTGCCAAGTCAATCAAAGGACGGGGTGGGATAGTCCGTGCAGGCGAGGCGGGCGGACGAGGTCGAGTGGGATGGACAATGTGGTGTGTGATGATTTGTTTGGGAGGCCGCGTCGAGCGTGAATGGTCGGAGCTCGGTGCTTCAGCCAAGCTCGCTGATGAGACCCCTTTGGGCGCGTCGGCGGGTGGAGCACGACAGATGGCGTCTGGCAACTAGACGAGGGCGAGGAGTCACAGGCTCCACTTGCGCAACGGGATGGTGATAAGAGCAGAGCAGAGCAGAGCAGTAGCAGCAAGGCGGCAGAGTCCAAAGAGGCTTGGTTGGCCGGGTGGTGCACAAAAAAACACGGGCGGGTACATAGAGGAGGACATGGATTTATAGCATAGCATAGCAACCGACATGCTGTCGTGAGCCAGGCGTGCATCGCACAGCGCGGCGTGGGCAATAGCGGCGGGCGTCGGCGGCGGCGGCGTCATTACGAATGCTGGTGTGGGCAAAAAAAAAGACCGGATGGCGTGCAGGCCAAATGCGACGATGTCTCCCCACGGGTGTTTGTTGGCGTGGAATTGGCTGTGCGAATGGATTTGCAGCAGACCACCACGCGCTGGCCGTGTCTGGCTCCCGGCAGCGCCGCTCGTGCCCCCTGCCAATCTACTGCTCCCAGGCCAGGCCATGCCATGCCATGTGATGGATAGATGGATGATGAGAAAGCGACTAGGGGCCAAGTCTGCTGCACTGCGTTGCTCTGCTCTGCGCTGCGCTGCTCGCCCTGCCTTGCCTCGCCTCCAAAGGACCGGCCAGCGCCTCCCTCCACGTATGCCCATGTTATGTCCGCCTGCATGCGTCCCTATCGCCGTGGGTTATTACACCACTATTGCAGTACAGCCCACTACGGCGGACCGACCTGGCAATGGGGCCAAGACGTGGGAAACTTCCGTCCGTTTCACGACGCTGACGCGCGCCGCTCGGCCGTGTTCCGAGCTTGATACCGTCGCTGTCTTGGGGCTGGCCTGCTTGGTCTTGGATGCACATGCTTGCGACGCTTCCGTGTCGTGTCGACACTACCATCTACAGAGTCGACAGAGTCAGAATGCCGCTGACCAGCCAGCTCATCTCCTTTGGCTCCTTTGTCGTCACCACCCAGGTCCGCCTGCCCGCCTGCCCGCCCGCCTGTCCACCTGCCCACCTGCCTCGCTTTGTTGAGCGCTGCAACTTGCAATGAACCAGCCAGTCAGGCAACTGACCGGATCCCCTAGGTCTTCCACCTAACCCGCCTGTCCTTTGCCATAGTCAATCTCAAGCCCCTCCTGCCCGGTCATGTCCTCGTCTCGCCCCGTCGCGTCGTGCCCCGCTTCAACGACCTGTCTGCTGCAGAGGTCCATGACCTGTTCATGGCCGTCCAGCGCGTTTCGCGCATGGTAGAGCGTGTCTTCGCCGCCTCGTCGCTTAACATTGCCATCCAAGATGGTGTAGACGCAGGCCAGAGCGTGCCTCATGTCCATGTCCACATCATCCCCCGCAACAAGGCTGATCTCGACCACAAGGGCGGCACCGATGCCATCTATGCCATGCTCGACAGCGACGACGCCAACCTAGGCAAGCAGCTCCAACACAAGGCCCGCTTCCCCGCCGTCGACAACGACAGCCGCAAGCCCAGGCCTGACGACGAAATGCAAAAAGAGGCCGAGTGGCTGGCTCAGGAAATGGCCAAGGACGAGCCTGCTGCGGATGATACTACTGCTGCTGCTGCTGCTACTACTGCTGTCTGAGCCACCATGTCCATCACCCACCCACTCTCACTGCCTCCAACACTGCCGCTTCCATCTTTACCTACTAGAAATCAAATACCATCATGTTTGCTGCGACACTGCCGCTCCTGCCAAACGGCGGGGATCCACTGCCGCCTCGAGTCGTGACCCATGGTTGGCCCTCTTGCACCCTTACCCGCACTTCCCCATCCATCTCAAAACCAACAGCTGTAAAATTCCCCTTGCTGCATTGTTCCATACTGGACCTCGCAAACACCTCTGACGTGCAACATGCCCGGCGCCGCCATGCCCTCGTGCTCGGCTTGCGTGGATATGCCCAGAGCAAACATCGACCCTGGCTCCTCTGACAGCTCGGAGTTTCTCTACGCGCGATGCAACCACTCCCAAAGTGTTGCTCTTGACAATGAAATGGATAGAGACAAGGTGCATGGCACACAAGGAGCGCTTGACCAAACGCCACAGTCCTCGATAGGCTTCGGTCTTCTCGCTCTGCCTGCAGAACTGCGATACCAAATCTATTCGTTTGTATTGCCAACCAATCTCACCATTGAGTTTAAGGCTATCTGGGAAGAGGGCAAGCCTCTTTTTTGTCGCCTATGATCTGGGCCAGCATGCAGAGGATGCAGCCCCCAATTGGTGGAGCGACTCCCTGTTTGGATACTGGCATCCGCTCCGCATACCACCTCGCTGTCGAAACGCAACTATTCCGAGTAAGCAAGTTTGTCTCAAACGAGTCCCGGTGTAAGTAAGCACCGACAATGCACGCACCTTGCTCAGCTAAACAGTTACAGCCGTCCTCTATGGCATGAACACGTACAAATTTACCATCCATGGAAGGGCCATATGGCCCAAGTCGCTGAGGAGCCCATACGTTTTTGGATCTCTTGGCCATCCTCTCCGACTCGCGCTGCTACGTGACTTGCGTCGCATCCACATCAACGTTGTTGCTGACGTTGACAGCCACTGGGCAGTCAGGCGCCAAAGAGCACGCCTAGAATACCTAGTCGAAATCCTCAAGGAGCATGCTGACGACCAAAACAAAGGGACCTTGTTGCAGCATCTACGAGTCGACTTTCGGCTCGCCCGGGTTCCCGACCCAAGGCTTCTTCCACATTATCACTCGACCGAATACTCGTACGAGCAATTTCTTCGGCTTCCGAAGAGGGTAGAAAAGTACGTGTTTGGCCTAGAGAGTCTGGCACCGCTTCGTGGTATCAAAGACGTGCAAGTCAACGGGCTCCCGTATTGGTACACAAAGTGCATGCAGCTTTGTATACAAGGCAAAGGCGGCCAAGTGCAAGAGGCCGTCTGGCCACAGCTTCAAGTGAAGCGCAGCCGGGGTAAGGGTAACGTCCATCCCTATGGGTCGAACATCCCTCCTGTTACAAGTAACAAGAAGGATTCTCTCCTTGACAAATGACGAGATGGCTGAAGGCCTAGGGACGTCCACGTCAGAAGGTAATGATCAACGCGGGGCGAAGATCACGTGATATGGCATCTCGCCAAGACAGGACATCTGGAGATGCCAGACCCTCAGGAGA